ATATTCCATCTCACAAACATTATTAGAGATAGAAACATGTTCACAAACCTTTTTGTCCCTAAACTTATGTGTTGTTTGTTGTAGCATCTCTTTTAATGCCTCTGAAAAACACAAGATTAAACCCCTTCAGTATGTTAGGTTCCACTGACAGATGAGATTGAATCTTTTATATGTCATGTAACTGGGTAAACAATTTTGCAGGAAAACAGCAGTACCATGATATGTTGTTCTCTCAAGCAGTAGATGCATAATCTTCAGCACAAATATCTTTAAAAATAGAAAGGGAGAAGTGAGTTGTACTGTGTACCTTTGACTTTTAGTTCTACCAGTACTGATATATATTGAAATGTGTGTTGCTGTGCTATTTCAACCCTGGGGAAAAATTGGTCCCCTGTAAATAAGTGTCATGCACAGGGCTGCATATCATTGCAATAACAATTCCTGCTTACTTCTCCAGTGATCAGAACTGCTGTTCCTTACTGTGCTGAACCTGTAAATAAATGAATCAGACACCTCAATAATGGTAATGAGAATAATAGTTATGTTGTTTGTGATGTGTCTTGTGTTTCATTGCTCTTTGGAACTCCTCACAGGTTGTTTAGTCAAGCAGAACTGCAGCTCAATCCTATCAGCCAGAGTGAGCTAAGTGTGCTTTTGGCTAAACTTTGTTACCTTCCATTTTCCTTGTTAATATGCCACAAAAGTCCACAATCTTGAAAACAGACACTATGTTCACTTGTTACATATGTAACTACAAACAGATGCTTTTGACAGAGGAATTCAGTACCTTCTTAAAGTGGATTAAGAGATTACTTTATAGTTTGAGGGGAGCATTATTAAAGGATTAGAAACCTCTCTTACCAACTAAAAGCATGAGCAGTCTAAGGTGTTACATTGCTTGATCTGCAGAGATATAGGTATGTGGGTTTGGACTTTCCAGCCTTATGAGTAGATGTGGTTTTGGCTCATGTGGAAAGCATTATTGGTGCCAGAATTCCTAAACACACCCAGAACATGTATTATACACACCCTGGGAGCACCTACTGCTGCTGCTAGAGAGGGGGAGAATCAAGGTTTAGATTTACAACACACTGAAAAAACCACTGATGTGGTGAGCTACTTTTAAGTACAGTGTTAATTTCAACAAAAATTGGAGTTTACATGGAAAACATTTTTGGAGTTATTTTCAATTATACATGAATTAAAAAAGGGAATAAAGTTTTACTGAGCAGTGTGCTTTAAATGCCATATGTATGGTATGACTCTTAATGGCCATGGGTTTGCTGAAAGCTATATGAAAGTGTGTTTCTTGTAATGTTCACTTTAAAAATGACATTTTAATGTAAAACTTCTAACATTTTTAAACTTCTCATTCATATAGTTAAGACCAAGCAACTCCATTCCTCTTGTGATTGATAAATAGTTTTGGATAATGCCAGTCAATGTGGCAGTGCTTGCAAAATAGTTACTGCAGCAGCAGTCACTTCAAAGAAACCTAACAGATTTGCAGCAAACAGCTGAGCCCTTGGACCCAAGTGAATGGGATCCAAGCTTAACTTTTTCAGTATTCAGTTCTACAATGTAAAAAAGTTTTTTCCCAGTAATAACTCCCCTTTGAAATTATTGTATTTTTCAGAGTATGAATTCAATACCAAGCTATACTCCTAGTAATTGTATCTTCTTGGTAGCTTGGAACCTGTTCAGAAAGTAATTTAAGTTTTATAGCCTATAAAACTATATCAGAAAAAAATCCATTCCAGGATTTTTTCCATTCTTCCAAGAACTGCCCTTTCAGCTTTGAAGAACCCTGCATCACTTAGCTTGCCATTAGGAAAAAAATAAATATTTGCAGGGAAGAGGTCCAATTGAGCCTCAGCAGCAGAGAGAACAGCACACAACTGTGCCAGTGAGGATCCTGTGCTCACCTTCTGCAGGGGAACACAGGAGTAGCTTTATTGGTTCAGAGCAGTCAGCAGCACCCAGTCTTCTCTTTCCTGTAGTAATTTTAAGTAGACACCTGGATGGAGCACTGAGGACAGGCCAAGCATATGAGATATTTCCCCTGAAATTTTCCCCACATGTGATTTCTCACAGCTAAGGGGATTGTCTGTAGGGTTGGTCTGCTTTGTAACCCATTCTCTTCCAAGGTGTTCCAAGCAATGCGCAGTCTCCCATGGATTCCCTTGCATCTACAGCTTCCTTTGGCTGTGCAGGGCACCCTTTCACGTCTTGCATCTCACTCTACTCACCACAGTCCTCAGGGAAACTGCAGAGTTTAAGCAGAATCACTCCTGCACTCAGGCAGGAATTCCTGGCTGCCTGCTACCAGCATTCCCACCATCAGCTCCTGCCCTCTCAGACCTCTCAGTCCTGAGCAAAAAAATCTGTTAAAAGACGAAGCTGAACCTTCAGAAGAGCTGCAGCTGTCAGTGTAAATAGAGAAAAACGTTTTCCATCAAGTTCCACAGGCAGTAATGACCTGGAGCTCCTGTTTCCCTGTAGGAGATAAACATCTCACCTTCTGGCCTCATTAGCACTGTCCTGGAGACTCCAGTTACCTTTTCTTTCAGATGATTAGCATAGCAGCCTAAAATCACAGGGATTTCTTCAACTTGTATTTAGCTTTGAATGTCACTGCCCTGTTTGAAGAAAGGGTTGACTATCTGCAAGCTTTTTTCCCCCTCTGAAACAGTTGGTCTATCAAAAATCTTCCCACAAACTCCCCCTTTTTGTGCCATTGAAAGTTCATGGTGGTTATGGTTACTGCTAAGAAAATGACTGTAATGGAATGGTATTTTTGAATTACTGCTTGTTGTGTTCCATTTTCAGTGTGTATTTAGTGTCAGTAACAGACTTAAGCTCTCCTAGCACTGAATTTGAGGATAGCGGAAGTCAGGGCTGTGAGGTTGGGATATCTGGGTAAGTAGGCCAATAAGTAATTATGATAAGAAGGTTAAGATAATTAGTAGCAGCAATAAATGGCCAAAGTTATCCTGCTTGAGTTCTCTGTTCTATATTTTGTCAGTGATCATTTTCTTAGGACAAATTATGAGAAGCAGCAATCCTTTGCTGAATACTGTTGCAGTCATGGAAGTTAAAATTAAGTTATAGCAATGGGGAGGGATCACTGGTTTTTGATGTAAAAAGGATGAAGCAACTGGTGTTAGTAAAGTGGAATATTATACAGTGAGTGGTACTGAATGAGCACTGAAAGCCCAGAACTGAAATTAATCAAATGGAAATAGATGAAAAGCTTAACCAACAATACATTCAAGGTGAAACATCCTGCAGCTGGCTCAACTAAAAAGGGATTTTAAGGAAAAAGACATGGTTAGCAGTTTAGTGCATATGTGATTTATATTTGCACACAGACTGTGCTCAGCACTGGAGAAATTCCAGGTGAAACATAGTTTTTGGCTTTCTTTCAATGTCTCTTCTGCTATTTTTAGGATTTGTGTCTCTTGTGCTTGGGCTTTTCACTCCATCTCCCCTGAGTACTGAAGTCTGGGTGACTTTGTGTCCAGGCCAGCCTCTGCAGCATAGACTGTCTGGTTCCAAGGAGGATGCAAGCCAGGTTGTCCATAGGCTAATAATGCTCCTGAATCTTTCTTGTACTTTGTCTCAAAGTGGAAGATGTTCTTCTGTAAGTGTTACTTTTTCCTGGGGGAGGATGTAAATGCAAGAACCACAGACCTGTGGGTTACACGTAAGTGTACTGACAATTACAAAAAAGGGTGCTGCTTTGCCATGAAGGAAACCTTCAAAGAATATATCACAGCTGTATATTCTGCTTTCTCCTACTGCTGGGTATTTTCTTTTTCTGACCATATTATGCTAGAAGTTAATGTTAGAAGTGTCAGTAACAAAGGCTGTATCCTTGTCCCTGAGATTCTTTTCTGAAGAACTTACACCTTGAATATTAGTCTCAGAGTTGATGTAATGCCAGCTTTTTGTGCTCACCTATATTCATTATGTATCAACGTCTCTTCCTGCTGCCCTAATTGGATTCTGAGGGGGTCCTTTGATTTTAAATTATTGAGCTATGGAATGCTCCATGTCTACATCTGATCTTGTTCACAGCCTCTGAGGTTTCCTAGAACCATAAAAGGTGTTAGTCTTCAATCTGAAAACCAAAACTGCTTATGCTGGTTTGATTTAATGGGAAGGGTTTTCTTTTTTTTTTTCTCCTTTTCAGAAACCAGAAATTGTGGGGTTCATCAAGTTTTCAAAGGGATAATATTTGCAACTAACAAAAAAATTCATTCAAACCATTGGTCTTCCTTTTATTTTGCAAGTGTATCTTTCTCTTTGAGAAGATAAATACAAACTCTGCAGGGTTGATCAGACCTACAGGGTAGATGTGTGCCTAAACACAAACTCAAATAAATTGGTGGTTTACATGCCTATACATACTATGTATAGTAGTAACATACCAGAGCCCTGACAAAAGATTGTTTTCAGCAATATATAAACAGATAAACAAGTCCATTCTGCCTGTCAGAAATCTTGCAAAAATGCAAAATAAGTTGTTGCAGATGAATAAAGTAAGCTAGACAATTTTCATGTTCTGAAGAGATCAGAATAATGATGTGAGCAGTTTAGTCAAAGTACCAGCGTGCTTCTTGGGGGTACACTTTACAGTTAATGTTGTGGCATCCAACCTTTTGAAAAAAAAACATTTAAGTAATGCACACACACACACACATGCACAGACAGTCAGTTCATTATCATAGGTGAAAATATGCTTGTGACAGTAATTACAGGTTCAGAAATAACATTGTGTTTCTTTAACTTAGGAGAGCCATGAGCCAAATGAAATACAAACTTTATATGATATTTCTTTTTGGCAGAGCTGACATTTTTTCTAAAATTTCATCTTAAAAATTCTTCATGTCTGCTACTTTTTCATGAATTGAAATGTATCCTGCATGACTAGTAAGGCATGTTTCACCTGAATTTTTCACATGGAGTATAAAGGATTCAGCAATGAAAAGTATTTTACTTAGCTAACCATTGCCTCTGAAGTTATGCAAGAGGCTGGTATGTTTCCAGCTAGGCTTGTAAGTTTGCAAAATGAACTCCAAATGTGCATCAAGTTAGGGTGGGCTTGGGGCTTCCATCTCCTTTGTGCTGCCCTTGCTTCAAAAGTTGGGGTTGGGGCCTTTTGCTTCTCTGCTGACACTTCTCTTATGCTTCCATTTAGAATTTTTTGAGGAAAAAAGTGTTTTAAAGGATTTTTTTTTCTTCCTTTGAAAGAAAAACAGTGAGGAAGTTAGAGGTGTTAAATGCTATCACTCCTTGATGTGAAAAATAAGCAGCATGGTGATCATTCTAAAAACACTAGATGAGGATCTGAACCAGCTAGGAAGGTAAGGTATAAACCTAAGTATTGGTGGGGTTGCTTGGACAGACTCTGCTTCTTACTAGGTGGCTCTGCATATCACTGTGGAAATCAAGTGTTGCTGTGGTATTCTTGTTTACTCTATGGATGACTCCTCTTCCAGAGACTTGTAATCTCCAAATAGTGCAGACCTTCACTCTAAGAGAAGAGAAGCACACAGGGCAAAGCAGTGTGCGATTTTCTTCCATCACACAGGGAGGAAATCCAAACTCATTTAGATTGTCATACTTTTCTCTTGCAAAAGAAATTTTTTTCAATCTCCAGCTCTCTGAATGTAGAAATGACACCTGTCAGCTCTAATTCTTCCCTAATGTAATGCCAGCTTTATATTTTCCAAGCAAGGGGTTGCAAACAGTACAAGTGCCTGAAACTGCTGCAGAAATGCAACCACAGGGCTCTGGGCAGGACAGGAGGAAAGAGAAATGGATTCTCCAGGTGCAGTGCCCGGTGCAGCCATCCAAATCCTACTGAACAACAACCTGGGTGACCATGGACAGTGCAAAGTGCTTGGGAGGAGTAGCTGGGCACGGCATCCCCCCAAATTTGGCTTGCATAGCAGGCAGACAGTCAATACAAGCGCTGTAGCTGAAGTGAGGGAAAGGAAAGAAAGAAGAGGAGCAGCAAAGTCAGGAAAACGATACAGCTTCTCCTGTCCTTTTGCTGCTCTGTGGTTGATGTTTCCCCGGGGAAAGCCTTGACTGACTGAAGCCATATGTTGGACTGAGCAGATCAGCCACATCCAGCAGCTGGCCACTGTTAAATGGGGGTGCAATAGTAATTGATTTATCCATTAAACTTGCTTCTTTTCAAGCTTTTTTTCTTGATGTTGCTAGAAGGCAATGAATCGTATTTACCATTAAAAAGAGTTGGACATAAACTAACCATAGAAAAACAATAAATTAATTATTTTCTTTATTGCATTTACATATGAAGGTAGGCTAATCCTGATGGGATAAGTGAGTTGGTGGCATGTCTGTTCAATTTAGAGGACTCTGAATTGAAGCCTGCACATATTTGCAGACTGAATAAGGATGAAATACTAATCTTGTAATAAAGCCTCTTATTCTAACGTGCACACAAGAGTTGTAGCAAAGGTCTGGTTACAGAAAAGAACGATATTAAGGTAATGTGTGATTTAAAATAAAGAAGCAGCTTGTTATGTTTACTGGATTTTGAACAGGAAACAGAAAATACCCAAAGCATATTGTATTTCACTATTAATTTGACAGAGAACAGTTTCAGGTTGTTCCCTTCAATGTGGTCAGTGTATTTCAACATTTTGCCATCACCAACTACCAAAGTTATGATCTGAAGTTTAAAGTTGATAAGTATATGAGGAAATTGGAAAAGTGAATCATAAAACATCATATATTTGTAAAATATTTGAACAATCAATCATATTGTGAGGGGAAATAATATGTCTGCAGCTTAATGTGATTTTTGGTAACCAAATTACATTTTCAAAGTTTGCATAAAGTCTGTGAGAGCTCTGCAATTGGCCTCTGCTCAAAAGGTTGCTTAACTCATTATCATCACCATTTTTTGAGTAACAGCAGTAAAAGCATTTGTCTGCTACATACAAAGTGGTGGAGAAAATTGTTGCTACCAAGTGTATATGGAAATGAGATTAGTGTTTTTTTTTTTACATGGTTATGGGTATAAACAAAAATCTTGAACCATAAATGTCAGCATTAACCTTTAGCTTGAAGGTCTCTCTCAGCCTAGAGGCAATGCTGGATAAAAAAGAAATAAAATTGAAATAGAATAGACATTCTTTATAAAATGTCATTTGAATGCAATAGCATTATAATTTAAGACACTATCAAAACAACACACAAATAAATTCATATTAACATTAAAGATCTCTCTAAATTAGCTGTTTAAACAAAAGGCCTCAGAAGTGTTCCATAATGAATTAGTATTAGGAAAATGAATGTCAGTCTCAGATTCAGCTACTTGCTTCCCCCTTTAAACAAAAACATCGAGAACAAGAAAGCATCAAGAACAAAAATCAAAATGTATCAGTAAATAGCCAGCTCAAATTGAGGAAGATATAAGAGGAACCTTTTACCTTTTTTCCCCACAAAGAAACAATTCTATCTGCCAAGAAAGTAAATTTTAAAATTTTCACCCTTATCAGCTGTTCATCACTGCATTATCCTAATTTTAAAGAGCCCTGCTTCTAGAATTTTTTCCAATACCACAGAAACTTTATTTATGGACACTCTTAAGCAGAATAAATCATTAAGCACTGCATATAGAATTCACAGGACAAATACCCCAACTATTTGAGTTAATTTTTTAATGGAACATTCAAGGTCTATTAAAGTTATGAGCTTTTAGAGTAACGTAAAGAAGCTGCTGCACATTGTGACTCCTGCTTCCATTTGTAATACTTAATGGTCTTAGGTCTTACTACCATTAGGCTAAATTGAAGAAATGATTGGAAATGTTGTTAATTGGGAGAAAAAGGGGAAATGTCAATCACGAGTCATTAATAATTTTACTTTCCATATCTGCCTTTACAAAAGCATAGGCAGTGTACTGGGCATTAAGTATGCCCTAATTAGAACAGAGAGATAAAGCCATAGCTTCACATTGAAAGAGAGTTGTTTTACCTGGTCTCTGGTGAACTTAGAGTAACAGGGCATTAAGACAATTTGTTTCAGAAAGACCCTTCTAAAGCTAATATTCTTAAGGCTTCCAGATGATCAGCTGATCAATTCTCCTCCCCACTGGGTGGTACTTATTTGCCAGCTGGGATTAAACTTGCAAAACATTTAGAGAAAACCTGCTTAAACAGAATAAGTTAATATTAAAAGCAAATATACTACAAGGTTTAAAAAACTAAACCACTTGTCCCCCTTACAAATAAAAAAAAAACCCAACAAACAGCAGCTGAAATATTTTTCCTCTACTGCTGAAGTACCTGAGGCTTCCCAAGCTAATATAGTGGCTTCAGCTCATTGCAGATGGTAGAAAACATGAAGGTTTTAACACAGATTCAGGACTGTGGGATTTTGCAAAGCAATCCTTGATACTTCAAGGACTGCTGTGTGTAGTGTGGTATGCACACCAAAATGTTATCAGGACCTGATTAGAGGGACAAGAATTCCATTCCCAGTCCTGTCCTTTCATGCCTATCTTTTAATGCCTCTCCCAGCAGTGGAGCTCTGCTTTGCCAATTAATGTGCAGAGAATGCTGTAGAAAGCAGAGCAAAGTTTTTGGTAGGAATGTCGAGAAATAAATCTCTTCTTGTTCTTAATGATCATTTGCTCTTTAGAGTGCCTTGATTTGGCAGCCTGCCTACTCATTAGCATTCCCCAAGAATGCAGTGGGATGGTGTAGAGTGAGTTGGGATGGGGTGGGATGGGATGTGATGGGGTGAGTGGATGTTTTCATCCAGGAGTACTGGATGCTCTTTGCCTGCTTTTCTGATGGCTGCTGCTTTCTGCTGCCTGGCAATGTGAGAGGGCAGCCTGTGGTGTCTAGTGATATTTTGTCATATTACTTGTCAGACCACTCATTTATTTTGCCTTGTTTCATATTTCAGTAATGATTCAATACTAGAAAACTTGTGCTATAATCTCTGCCTGAGTACTTAGGCAGTGGTTTGAATACTGTTCCACCCAGGGAGATGGATCCACAAATGACAAATGTTAAAATACATGTTTTTATTTGTGGCCACTTCCCTGAGAAATGTTCAGTTTGCATTTCTTTCTCAAGGAGTACTGAGCCTGAGAAATCAATTTAATGCTGTTTTTAATAGAAAGGTCAGTGATGGCTGGCTGTATTTCAGAAATTCCTATGAGAAAGGACTCAGCTTGTCTCTTGACAGAGCTGCAGATGAGCAATGATCCCAGCACAACTGAGGTCAATCCAGCTGCCCAGGGGATCAAGATGGCTCAGATTGTAACAGGGATTTCTGAAAACTGAGCTGTGGCTTTCTAAAAACCAGTCAGCCAGGCCTGCTGTCTGTGGAGAAAAGGAAAAACCTTTATACAGAGTCTGAGATTCAGCACATTCTCTAATGATCATTATTCTTCAGCTACTCCTGAGCACCAGCCTCTGCAGTGGCCCTTCATCCCCACCTCTGTCTCTGCAAACTCTGCTTCACTCCAGGTCTGCTCCCCCCCTTGGCCACCAGCAAACTGAGTGCTCTCCTCTTTGGGATGGTTACAATTCACTCTGAGCTTGTTCTGATGCTGTCAATAAATTTTCTCTTCCAAACAAACCCCCTCATCTCAATCCATATTTTCAACTTTCAGGGACTTTGTTTACTGCAATATGGAAATCTCTACGCAGTCATCTTTGGTACTGAAGCTCATGGCACCAGCATAAGGACTGCTGCAGCCATCCTTGCTGACACTGATCCCTTTTCACCACTGAAATCAGAATCTCACTTGAGAGATATTTCCTTCTGAGGAGTATTTTTATTCCACTTTTTGATTGCCTCCACTTAAGAGAAGTCTTTTCTCATCATTTCCTGGTTTTTCATTTGGGGAACATGCATCATATTGCCTCACCCCAGAAGGCACGTAACAGATAGGTGGGAATCTCCTCCTGGGAGAAAGTCTTTGATTTTCTGTGTTCAAATTAATCCTACCAACCTCCTACCTTCCCTGCTGTTGCAATATCCTGTTTTGGATTCTAGACAATAAAGGAACAACATTAGTTTCAAATGTTTTATTCCCAGAAAGGTTTAGATGAACACTAGGGCGTGCAAGGTGATGACCTTTCATGTGGTCCTGACAGAAACTGCTCGTTAAAGATGCCAAACTTCTGTGAGGAGAGAAGAAACCCAGTGGGTGTTTAGAGAAAAATCTTTCCAGGGGAAAATTGGTTCTTGGTGGGTAAGCAAGTGTTAATAAACCCATCTTTTTTGTCGATTACTTTCTTTCCTCCCTTTTCATTTCCCCAGCTCTAAAGAGATTTTCTTTCTCTGATTCAGTGGTCATGGAATGCTGTAGGGCAATGGAAGATAAATACATTGTGCATTGAAAAGTAAGTAATATTGTATGCCAGCCAAGGAGATGTTCTGTGGCATCAGTTTGTCCTATTTGATTTGACCCAGGGACTCTTCAGTCAATCAAGCAGTGCATTATCATTTCAAGCTCGAGGAGAGATGCACTATTAATCTAAGTGAGCTGCAGTCAGACCTGACAGGCAGGGGACAAATCCCTAATCAATCTTTTAATCACCCACCTGGGGTGGTTTGAATGAAGTCAATTAAGGGATTGTTCGTCAGCAGAAAAATCTGTACTCAGCTAGTTGAAGAAACATGCAAGATCTCCTTTGTGAAGGTATCTTTAGAATAAAACTTGTATCTTTCTCTTCCCTCATTCATTTAGTGGGGAGTAAGCTGGATGAGAAAGAAAAGATGTATGTAGGAGAAATGTACGAAATTTCAATATAATATGATCATAGACATGTATTTGGAATAAATGTCCTTATTCTCCAGAAGTGCTGCAAGTATTCCAGAAAATTAAATGAATGAAACATAAATACTGAATAAATATTTTCATAAACCAGCTCTATAAAATATCACGGTCAAATGATTGGATGAAGTGTTAAAGGACTGCTTCTCCTACTGTAGATAGAAGGAGAGATGTGTATTGTAGAGACATTTATAAATCCCTTTTCTTCTGTTGACATTTCTGATACTATTTGTCACTAATGGTTTGTATTCAAAACTCCTGCCACACCTAGTGAGGCAAAGGATGGCCACTGAAAGCAAAACTTGGTTGTAATTTCTGAGCAGAGAAATTTTACTTTAATTCATTGGAGTATGCCTGTAAATTTTGAGCACAAGGTGGTTCTTTTCCACTGAAACCTGAACTGAGTGATTTGCTTACTGAGACAATACTTACAGATCTTTGAAAATATTACCTGTTGTGCAATTTTATTTTGTTCTGGAAAAAGTAGAGCCAAAGTGTTGTAATCTGCAGCATTTTTAAGTCCCATAAATCCCATAGATTTGGTATTCAAAAGCAGCTTCATCTTAAAACCACCTGACAATCTACCTGCAGCATAATCATGAAAATGTGATTAAAAACTAAAAGTATGTTTTCAGAGCATCTCTAATGGAGTTTATTTTAGTGGGGGAATAAAGTTACTGAAGGAATTTTCAGGATAAACATTAAGTAATCTGTTGTGATTGCTAGACTTCTTCCTCAGCCTTGTTTCAAGAACTTTGTTGGGCTATTTTTTTTCATCCTTGTTTGCAATGCAGTTTAAACTTTTGCAGGTACATTAGGAAATATCAAACCTTCAATGCTGTGATAATTTTATTAGCTTTCCTAATAGTAATTTTAGTGCTGTATTAGGAACTTAAGCACTAAAGGTTGAGCTGACAAATAAATTTTATTTTCCTCTCTACTTGGATCTTAAACTGAACAAAATCACCAGCTCCTGGTTATATTATCTGCCATTCCTATCTCTGTAGAAGGCTGAGATAAATTTCAAAACAAACAAACAAAGCCTAATTGAGAGGGACCTGAGGGATGTGCAGCATTGCAGTGGAATTTTCTGTAATCCTCTTTGGCACGCTTTTGGGGCTGCCTTATGTGAGCAGCTGAAACCACTTCCCTTTTGAATAGCAGGTGTCATTGCAAGCTGGAGCTCAAATTTGTGGGGCCTCTTGGGAACCTGCCCATACACCTGAAAATCTGTTGTGTCACAGCTGATGGGAATCACACACCTGGTTGTCATAAGCCACCTTTACACATCTGTGAAAAAGAAATAAACCTCTCCTGTGCAGTTGGACCTACATGCCTGCTTTTGAGGTGGTTGTTCTGGTTGCAATGTTAATTTTGAAACAGGAATTGAAGTTTGCTCATTGCTGCACATGGTCACTGGGACATTGGCTGCTATTTCAGATTTTATTTTCCAAAATAATGCAGGAACCAACACATAGGATTTGACTCTGCTTCTGTTGAAATAATAGAAGACAGAGACCACCACGAAGGACAGCTCACAGAAAAATGACAACCAATAATGCACTACAAAGCCCATGGGAACCATTAACTGCATGGAGGAAAGGTCAGTGAAGGCTTACAAAGGCAAAGTGACTTTTCAGTTCTTCTGGCTTATCCATTGCAGACACTGATTTCAGACAAATCACATTGTAGTTACACCAATGTGGTAAGAAAATCAGGTCCATGCGTGCAGGATTTATTGACCTGGAAGAGCCCCAAAACCAGTGTCTCCTTACTCAGGACCACTTTCAACAGCTCCCTGTGTGTGCTTGAGCTGCTGGGGTGACTCTGCTCTCCCTTCAGGGACAGGTGCCTCATGCCTGGACCAGGTTTGGGCTCCTTTTCCTGTGTGCTGGGTGGGTGATGTTCCAGGCTGTGCTGTAGCAGGGTGATGTGCAGTAGAGCAGCCCCAACCCTCCTTTTATCCTGTGCCCCAGTTAGGTCACAAGCAGAGTAGCTGAGAGGGTCTTGGAGAACCTGGGCCCACCTATACGCCCTGGTGTGTCCCAGCACTGCAGTGAATGAAGCTCCAAATGTGCACTGTGCCTCTGCAGGGCCTCGAATTCTTCTGGAGGTGATTGGAGCCCATGGGCCAAAGGGGTCTGGAGCTACAATTTGTCCTCTTCCCACAGGAGTCCCTGGGATATGAGGGCATGGGAGTTCAGATACAGCCT